CCTGCTCTTATCCTCCCATTGTAAACACTCACCGGTTTGTGGGGCGACAGTCAACACTATGACATACCTGTGTGTGTGTGTGTGTGTGTGTGTGTGTGTGTGTGTGTGTGTGTGTGTGTGTGTGTGTGTGTGTGTGTGTGTGTGTGTGTGTGTGTGTCCACGTCGTTGTCAACACACTGTGCGCTTTCCAACTAAATGTTGACACCAGGGAGTTGAGGGATGACTGGGGAGTTGAGGTGGGGAAAGGTATGGTAATTGTTAGAAGAACGCCCCTGATGCCAGTACGACTGCATAAGTACAGGAATCTGTACACCAGTTGATTGACAGTTGAGAGGCGGGACCAAAGAGCCAAAGCTCAACCCCCCGTAAGCACAATTAAGTAAGTACATGGAAGGGATATGAGGGGTAAGAATCTAACATATGAGGAAGAGATTGAGAATGGTGGCTAACCAAATGGACCACTGGGGACCGAATTCCTACCCTGCAAAGCGCAAAGGACGAGATTTAAGAGGATATCAAGTACATCAGAGAGGTGGATTCACATTTTTCTAGCAGAGTGGATGTGAAGATATCATCACATCCTGTCTCAGTGGGGTGTCCAGAAGGCGCTATCTCTGCTGCACTCGTACTCATGCGTATCCTTGCGAATAATTTTGAGGCAATGGTGTGCCTCGAACCTGTGTTCTGGTTATTCCTAGACGGATGTCCAAACCGACTCGCCTGCGATGGGTTAAAACGTCTACCAGCCCGAAACGCTATTGAATTCACCGGGAGGTTCTGGAGACCCGGAACTGGAGCCCAACCAGGATTTTACGGTCTGCGGTAAGGGTGTTCACGCTCCTACAACCCACTCTCACATCCCTTTGAAATCACAATGACGTGATGTATTCATTTTGAAGCTTACTATTGCTATTTTGAGTCCATGGTGGCACTCCATGGCCATTTTGAGCCAATGGTGGCACTCCATGGCCATTTTGAGTCAATGGTGGCACTCCATTGCCATTTTGAGTCAATGGTGGCACTCCATGGCCATTTTGAGTCAGTGGTGGCACTCCATTGCCTTAAAATGATTTCCATTGATACCTCAAGCCATTGTGATGTCATTGTAATTCTTATCCTCATTGAAGATATTGTTAAGAACACACTAATAATTTCACGCTCTCTCTTGCCGAGGTCACCAACATGGACAAGAAAATTGTAGCAGTGAGAGGGACGACAAAATGTTCAGTAACACCAACCAGCTTTTCCAGCGAGTAACTAAAAACATAATGTTCAACTGTGACATTCAGCTGCGTTGGTACGGAAACAAGAAGAAGAAAAACACCTTAAAATAAGCACCGGATACGAGACGCTGTCATCATGTCTTAGAACACAAGTGGGTAGTTATTGTGCCAGACCTTACCTCTTGGGCCCCGCCTCCTTACTATGAGTAAGGACGCGGGTCCTTCTTACTGATAATACCACTAGTACTGTGGATGGTGGATACTTTCACTGCATCACCCCCTATTGTTTACCTCTTCACTGCGTATATTTCACTTCGCCGTCTCCGTGGTGCAGTGGTAAGACATTCGCCGGGCGTTTTGCGAACACTTTGGCCTGGGTTCGTATCTTGGCCGGGGAGGATTGACAGGGTGCCGGTCCCTAACTGTAGCCTCTGTTCACCCAGCAGTGAATGGGGACCTGGTTGTTAAACGATTTGGCGGGTCGTATTCCGGGGGAAGATTATGATTAAGAACTTGCCGGAAATGGTGTGTGTGTGTGTGTTGGTGGCTGTATGAGAATGTAACTCTTATGTGTATTCACCTAGTTGTGTTTGCGGGAGTTCCGCTTTGCTCTTTCGGCCCGCCTCTCAACTGTTTACTAACTACTACTACTACTATTACTAACTACTAACTATTCCCTCTGTGCTCTGTACACGCACGCACCCGTGCGGGTGGGTGCGTGCGTGGTAGTGCACCTTGCGCGTTGTGGCTCCCAGACAGCCGGGCGTGGTGACACTATAGCTTTAAAAGGTTACACACGGCGTGTTGCTCCGCTGGGGAATGCTGCCACAGCCCCACCCATCCCCCCCTCCTCCACCCACAGACCCCCCCCCCTCCAACACCCCCCCCCCCTCCAACACCCCCCCCCCTCACAGCCTCCACCACCACAGCTCCACCACCACCAATGGTTCACAATTACCACTTCCGTCACCCCCCCCCCCCCACTGCTACACTGTTGAGGCTACTGCTACAAGTACTACTAACGCTGCTACCAATACTACTGCTATTAGCACAACGACCATCGCTGATGTGTACACAAAGAACCAGCGTGGAGATGGAGAGATGGAGGTGGTGGAGGCTGTGATGGAGAGATGGAGGTGGTGGAGGCTGTGATGGAGAGATGGAGGTGGTGGAGGCTGTGATGGAGAGATGGAGGTGGTGGAGGCTGTGATGGAGAGATGGTGGTGGTGGAGGCTGTGATGGAGAGATGGGAGGTGGTGGAGGCTGTGATGGAGAGATGGAGGTGTTGGAGGCTGTGATGGAGAGATGGAGGTGGTGGAGGCTGTGATGGAGAGATGGAGGTGGTGGAGGCTGTGATGGGAGAGATGGTGGTGGTGGAGGCTGTGATGGAGAGATGGAGGTGGTGGAGGCTGGGATGGAGAGATGGAGGTGGTGGAGGCTGTGATGGAGAGATGGAGGTGGTGGAGGCTGTGATGGAGAGATGGAGGTGGTGGAGGCTGTGATGGAGAGATGGAGGTGGTGGAGGCTGTGATGGAGAGATGGAGGTGGTGGAGGCTGTGATGGAGAGATGGAGGTGGTGGAGGCTGTGATGGAGAGATGGAGGTGGTGGAGGCTGTGATGGAGAGATGGAGGACAGGAAGACGACAGGAAGCGGGTGACCGCAAGAAACATTGGACATAATATTGACCATAAACGAGGCAGAGAGAGGCACAGTCAGCTGGGCCAGACTTAATATCACCGTGGGTCTTGAAGACGGCCGCGCAGGTACACCTGCTGACTTGAATTTTTAAGTAAAACACTCAAGACAGGAGATATTCCAGAAATATTGAAAAAACCCCAAGGTAGTCAATAAATAAAGGGGAGAGACAGGAGGCACTGGATCATAGAGCAGTCACTGCCACACCTCTGCAAGGTGGTGGTAACGGTGGTAATGAGTGTTTGGGCAGTCGGGAAGGATAACGGTTGGAAGGGAACCTTACCTTACCTTGAGGTTACCTTGAGGTGCTTCCGGGGCTTAGTGTCCCCGCGGCCCGGTCGTCGACCAGGCCTCCTGGTTGCCGGATCAACCAGGCTGTTAGACAGGGAAAGGAGACATGAACATACACTGAGGAAACATCCTGCCTGATGAACGTTACCGATCTCGGTAAGATGATCACTAAAGTTGGCCAGGTGAAGTAGACAGCATCTTAGACTGTCGGGAATCTATCATGAAGGATGACGACACTGGAGGACCAGGTCCCAAATTTGTACAGAAGAATAACAACATCTGGAGCGAGAGTTAGGGAAGGATATGTAGAGGAGAACCATTGAGGACCAGAGGTGCCAACCACAGCACTCAACATCAGGGGTCCACAGCTGTGTAATGCTCTCTCGGCAAGCATTAGAAATATTGCCGGAAAAAACGTGGATGTATTCAAGAACAAATTAGATAAGTTCTTGCAAGAAGTACAGGACCAACCAGACTGTAGTGGATGTGTGGGCCTACGGGCCGCTCCAAGCAACAGTCTGTTGGATCAAGTTATCACAAGTCGAGCCTGGCCTCAGGCCGAGCTCGGGAGTAGAATAACTCCCAAGACCCTCTGCAGGTAAACTCCAGGTAATGAATGACCGGTGAACAAGATTGGAGATATCATACCTGGGATAGCGTTTCAAGTTTTATTTCACTCCCGAAGCCCGGCCTGAGGCCAGGCTCGATTTGTGATAACTTGATCCAACAGACTATTGGTTGTTGCGGCCCGTAGGCCCACATATCCACTACAGTCTGGTTGGTCCGGCACTTCTGGCAGAAACTTTCAAAACGGCTTCTTGAGAACATCCACCTTTTGTTCCGGCAATATTTCTAATGCTCGCTGGGAGTGTGTTGAACAGCCACGGACCTCTGATGTTCAGACAGTGGTCTCTGTCTGTGGCACCTCTACTCCTCACTGGTTCTTTTCTCCATTTCCCTAACCCATACTCGTAGCTTAGTTTTTTAAATTTATGTACAAATCCTGTAGCAAACTTCTGACCTTACTTTTTAAGAACAATTAAAGTAGTTACGATAACTGCAAGCAAGCGTATAGGTTGGATAACGAGAATATTTCAAACAAGAGATGCTACCATGATTCTTTTGAAGACACTAGTGCTCTCTAGGATAGAATATTGTCGCACATTAACAGCCCCATTCAAAGCTAGAGAAATTGCTGACCTGGATTAGTGCAAGGATACTTTCCTGCTTGAATCCACTCCATCTAAATTATTGGGACCGATTAAATGTGTTAAATCTATATTGCCTAGAGCGCAGGCGAGAGGCGCGCGTAATAATTTACACTTGGAATATATTAGAGGGACTGGTCCCAAACGTGCCCAGGGAAACAACACCACATGAGACCAGAAGACATGGCAGGATATGCAGAATACTCCCGTTGAAGAGCAGAGGTGCAACAGGTAATCTGAGAGTACCTCTTATCAAGAGCAAGCGACACACTGTTGCCACACTTTCCTGTTGGGGTGGTGCGCATATATAAGGTCTTAGTTCTGTTCTGATATAGGAGAACAGATATAGTGAATATTAGTAGCCATTGCATATAAAATATTGTATAAATGACGTATTTTTAAAAGTTGCGTTTTATTTTATATCGAACACTTGTAATTTCAGGCCAATTTCGATCATTAGTTTTATTATCAATAATTGTTTGAAATGTGAGCACGTTTGGTGGTCAGAAATAGGCGATGTTTAATTGCCCCCCGGAGGTCTAATTACTAAACTGTGACTAATTGTGGTTTGTTTAATTGCAGGTAAGCCGAGGCCAGGACTACCTTGTGTGCTGTAGGCCGGCGAGAGGTGAGTCTTACAGTATGAGCAGCATCTTAGAGTCATGAGTGTATGAGATGTGATGAGTGTAAGAGCCTCGTGTGTGAGGCTGGGGGCCTTCTGAAGTGTGGAGACACGCAATCACACGCACCTCTTTTTGACGTCAAAGAGTGAGTGTGTGAGAGTGTGAGGGAGGGTGAATGAATATTAAAGATGTATGACTGATGACAGACAGACGTGGAGGCTGTAACCGTTCTTGCTCTTCTCTCACAAAACACATATTTTCGTATCTGATAATTGAGCATTGATTGTTATTGTTGTGACTCGTGTTTGTTATCGCTTCCTGCCACAGGTGTGTGTGTGTGTGTGTGTGTGTGTGTGTGTGTGTGTGTGTGTGTGTGTGTGGTGTGTGTGTGTGTGTGTGCGCGGGGGGGGGTGACAATGTTGGTGTAAAAAAAACGGCTGGGGGTGTAAAACAGACGACTGGCCCTCCTGGTGTAAACAGCGGGGTGTAAAACAGACGACTGGCCCTCCTGGTGTAAACAGCGGGGTGTAAAACAGACGACTGACCCTCCTGGTGTAAACAGCGGGGTGTAAAACAGACGGCTGGTCCTCCTGGTGTAAACAATGGAGAGGGTGTAAACAGCGGGCGTAGACAAGGACCCACCCACGGGATGTGACGCTTTAATTCTCTCACTTCCCCCAGCTGCTCGACTTAGGCTAATGGCTGAATGGATGGTTTGCTTAATAATGGGATCAACTGGGCTGTGCTGTAGCCTCCAACAGCCTAATTGATCACACCGTCAACCAGGAGGCCTGGTTAGAGACCGGGCCGTGGGGACATTGATCCTCGTAACGCACCCAAGATAACGTCAGGTTAAGGGAGGACAGGGGGAGGTGGAGGGGGGGTGTTCTCTGACCTGCCTTGCCCTTCTAACTTGCCCAACCACATATTTCCTCACTCTTGGGGAAGGGGGAGTGTGTGTGTGTGTACTCACCTATTTGTGCTTGCGGGGGTTGAGCTTTGGCTCTTTGGTCCCGCCTCACTGCAAGATGTCCCTCTCAAGGCGACCATTGGGCTGAGTTCATTGTGGTGTGTGTGTGTGTGTGTGTGTGTGTGTGGGTGTGTGTGTGTGTGTGTGTGTGTGTGTGTGTGTGTGTGTGTGTGTGTCGGGAAGGGGAGGGGGGTAATAGGGATGAGGTCTACTCCCCCATATAACCTTCACTTGAATGGTGTACAATACATCAAGCATGTCAACCTCAGGGCCCCTCTGATGGCCCCCCTGTGAGGGCCCCCTCTGAGGGCCCCTCTGAGGGCCCCCCCTGTGAGGGCCCCTCTGAGGGCCCTTGTGAGGGCCCCTCTGAGGGCCACATTGGTGTTGTCATGAGGGCCACACATGCCAAATAATTTATATCATTTAATACAAATCATTGCAGAATGTTTATATTACCTAAACTTAGAAACATACAAATGTGAATACAAATGATTTACCGCCTCGTCACATTCAAGAATGCAAAGTTTAACAAAAGTAAAAAAGTAGTTTAACAAACAAAAAATAAACGGCAACATAGACGTCTATGCAACAGCAACAAATACATTGTACATAAATTACAACAGTTCAAAATGAACATGTAGTTACGATTACTCTAACATTTATAATGTTTTGTTCAGAGGCTAATGGAAATGCATGGTTAATGGAATGACTTTGAAACCACTCGCCCTTGTTCGTTCATTTCCTTTTTATCTTAGCCGTAGGCACTATAGCCATTTTAAAGATGATGTGGAATCTGAAAAATAAAAAAAAATATTAAATTAAAATCAAAATCACCCGTTAACAAACTTGAACTAAATTCAGGCCAGCTTAATAGTTAAGGTCATGACTAATAGTTAAGGTCATGTCTATTTTGAGAAGTGTTAACTCGCTTCACAGCTGCATTCATGTTTCTTCTGTGCGTTTGAAATCTATTAAAATTTGGTAGTTTAAGTTACAAAAACTGCAATTTTGGCCGTTAAATGAGCAAATTACAGCATCCTTTGTGGTGGCCGCCGCAGGTGTGCTTGTCTGCGGGCCGCATGCGACCCTCAGGCCGCATGTTTGATATGCGTGAATATTGTCATTAGTTACCTGTAGTGTCCACAATTTATTTTTGTCGACAAATTGCAGTAGGCCAATCAATAGTGTTGTATGATTGTGTTTTTATTGTATTCACAAGTATGGTCGTTTTTTCAGCCTTCTGGTAAGATTGATACTTTTAAAATGTTGCATAGGCCTATGCGTTATTGGCATGGTTCCCAGTATAGCCAAGGCAGTTGGTGGTGGCACCGCACCCCCCCCCCCCTCTGTCACAGTCACTATAAGACGTGACAATCAGGTCTTACAGTGACGATATACTTTCACTGTATGATACACTTTCTAAACACATACAGCTCGCTAGACAAGTTCCCGCCGGAAGCACTTGAACCAAGTGGGTTGTAGTGGATGTGTAATCCTGTAGCCGTGACAATAAAGAGCCTTTTACATCAAGTTACCACAAGAGAAAATTACAAAAAAAAACTAATTAAGGCAAGTCAGATGCCTAGCCGTGATTGGGGTATATAGACCTTGGACTTCAGGTCAAGACTGGTGGTGGCCCAGGAGCTCCAGCCAACTGGAGGCAATGTTAGATGTTGTTATAGATTCAGCTACTCGGAACACGTTCCAAGTAGCACGGGCTATGGTGAGCCCGTAACTTTCCTGGAACAGGAGCGGGGCTGCAACATGAGAGAAAGTGTGTTGTTACAGAAGGCAGGGCCCCGCCCTCTGGGGTTCCCAGGGCGCTCCTCTGTGTGTACTTCACTTACACTCTCTGTGTACACTCCCGCTCATGACGGCTCTTTCCTGTCAACCATATTCATTCATTCTTCACTTCTCCAGCCCCGGGACACCGTCCCCGTACGGTGTCCCGGGGCACCGAAGTTTAGATGTTTTACTGAGTGGATTCTAGCAGTAAAGGATCTCTGCACGCTCTCCAGGTCAGCAATTTCTCCAGCTTTGAAAGGGGCTGTCATTGTGCAGCAGTACTCCACTTTAGAGAGCACTAGCGTCTTGAAGAGTATCATCATCGGTACAGCATCTCTAGTGTGAAAGGTTCTTGTTATCCAACCTGTCATTTTTCTTGCAGTTGTGACGGCTACTTTATTGTGTGTGAATATAACTTTGAGAACTGCAACCGGTCTAAATAATGTGTAGGATATGACGTTAGAGTTGGTCTGGAAATAACTGTTGGTTGAACGTCCACGACAGGAAGGGTCAGTGTGCAGTGTGGGATGGTGCGTAGTGTGACGCAATGCCTGAGGGAGTGACGCATGCGGGTACCCGTGTCACGTGACCGAGAAAGGTCACCAGGTTGGTAGGGCGTAGTGGTGTTGCGGCCTCCTGTACTTACCTAATTGTGCTTGCGGTGGGGAGTGAGCTCTGGCTCTTTGGTCCTGTGTGTGTGTGTGTGTGTGTGTGTGTGTGTGTGTGTGTGTGTGTGTGTGTGTGTGTGTGTGTCAGAGTGTGTGTGTGTGTGTGTGTGTGTGTGTGTGTGTGTGGTGTGTGTGTGTGTGTGTGTGTGTGTGTGTCAGAGTGTGTGTGTGTGTGTGTGTGTGTGTGTGTGTGTGTGTGTGTGGTGTGTGTGTGTGTGTGTGTGTCAGAGTGTGTGTGTCAGAGTGTGTGTGTGTGTGTGTGTGTGTGTGTGTGTGTGTGTGTGTGTGTCAGTGTGTGTCAGAGTGTGTGTGTGTGTGTGTGTGTGTGTGTGTGTGTGTGTGTGTGTGTGTGTGTGTGTCAGAGTGTGTGTGTGTGTGTGTGTGTGTGTGTGTGTGTGTGTGTGTGTGTGTGTGTGTGTGTGTGTGTGTGGTGTGGTGGGTGGGTGGGGTGGGTGGGTGGGTGGGTGGTGTGAGGCAGGGTGTTGAGCAGTGTAGGGAGAAGTTGGCTGTTGAGTGACGTGTTGTACGTACGTGTGTGTACTCACCTAGTTGTGCTTGAGGGGGTTGAGCTCTGGCTCTTTGGTCCCGCCTCTCAACTGTCAATCAATTGGTGTACAGATTCCTGAGCCTACTGGGCTCTATCATATTTACATTTGAAACTGTGTATGGAGTCAGCCTCCACCACATCACTGCCTAATGCATTCCATTTGTCAACCACTCTGGCACTAAAAAAAGTTCCTTCTAATATCTCTGTGGCTCATTTGGGCACTCAGTTTCCACCTGTGTCCCTTTGTGCGTGTGCCCCTTGTGTTAAATAGCCTGTCTTTATCTACCCTATCAATTCTCTTGAGAATCTTGAATGTGGTGATCATGTCCCCCCTAACTCTTCTGTCTCCCAGTGACGTGAAATGCAGTTTCCTCGGCCTTCCCTCGTACCTCATGCCTCTTAGTTCTGGGTCAAGTCTAGTGGCATACCTCTGAACTTTTTTCAGCTTCGTCTTGTGCTTAACAAGGTGCGGGCTCCATGCTGGGGCCGCGTACTCCAGGATGAGTATTGGTCCTACAAATGTGGTATACAAGGTTCTGAATTGGTCCCGTGGGCGTGACCCTAGACCCGCGGGCGAGGAGTTACTCCCTTGACTAAGAGAGGTGTCACCCTCACGGAGGGAGCCACGTGCCTGACTCACTAGGCTAGTGCCACTGGGAAAGAAACTATTACTCTATATTGTGTATTTTCTTCTGTGAGTTAGCTTGTGAAAGCCTCGTTACTGCCTTCAAACACAGGGCACTTACACCTGCCTGAAACTATAATACAATAGCTTGTTCTCCAGTTCTCCAATGAGGCTCCACCAAGCGGGTAGGCTTAGTTGTAACTATTTTGTTCTTCGATATTTGTTGACGGTCTCGTCATATTGACTTGCAACCTTAACCAACGGTTAATGCCGAGGTAACTTTTGGATGTTGGGCCAACCTGTTCTCTCAAATATTTCGGCGTGTTTTGACGCCAGTATCAGCAACGAACAGAATGCGGTGTGCTGTCATAGTGGCTCACAACCCCGTTTTCTATGCTTGGGTCAGTTAAGGTAGATTCGCGTATTTTGGTACACCGATCTTCGTCCGTTATGGCAGCTCAGGAGGACGGGCTGGTTGAGCAGTGTCGCCTAGTGATAGTTACTGTGAGGGCTTCCCTGTGAGTGTTTCCCCTGAGAGTGTTTCCCCTGAGAGTGTTTCCCCTGAGAGTGTTTCCCCTGAGAGTGTTTCCCCTGAGAGTGTTTCCCCTGAGAGTGTTTCCCCTGAGAGTGTTTCCCCTGAGAGTGTTTCCCCTGAGTGTGCTTCCCCTGAGAGTGCTTCCCCTGAGAGTGCTTCCCCTGAGAGTGCTTCCCCTGAGAGTGCTTCCCCTGAGAGTGCTTCCCCTGAGAGTGCTTCCCCTGAGAGTGCTTCCCCTGTGAGGACTTCCCCTGTGAGGGCTTCCCTTGTGAGGGCTTCCCTGAGGTAAGCACTGAGGTCCATAACTGGCCGACCCCTCACAGTGTTCAAGAGAAAACCTGACAAATTCCTCCAAAGGATACCTGATCAACCAGGCTGTGACTCATACGTCAAGCTGCGAGCAGCCGCGTCCAACAGCCTGGTTGACCAGTCCAGCAACCAGGAGGCCTGGTCGACCAGTCCAGCAACCAGGAGGCCTGGTCGACCAGTCCAGCAACGAGGAGGCCTGGTCGATGAGGTCGACCAGCGACCCCGGGCCGCGGGGTCGCTGAGCCCCGGAATCACCTCAAGGTAACCTCAAGGAGGTATTCTTTGAAGCCTCACTACCTCACCAGAACACCAGTAAAAAGTTACTGTTATTGCGTAAAGGCGGTGAACGTCGGAGTGTCACAAGCACAATTAGAGAACAAAATGAACTATGATTGTTACGAGTGGAAAATATAGAGGAGACAGCCAATCTCTACACGTATGCATATTAGGGCATTCTAAGAACCACAGAAACCACGATGTTTACTGAAGTGGCAGCTCCTGCGCTAAGTGATTACCTCTGAGAAATCATGTCGAAAGACCTTACTGTTACCAATAAAGTATTTGTCACAACTGCAAGAAAAATGACAGGTTGGATAAGAGTAACCTTTCAAGCGGAGATCCCAAGCCAACGACGACGGCACTTCTCTAAGACAATGGTGCGGTTTACAGTGGATTATTGTTACATACAACAGCCTCATTTAGTGCTAGAGACGTTCCTGGTCCGGGGAACGCGCAGACAACTTGCACCACCTAAATCCATTTAATAAAACGTTTAAATTATTGGAACGTATTATAGTCGTTCAAATAGTACTTCTTGGAACACAGGTATGGTATATGCATAATAATTGACACTTGTTAAATGTGGAGAGACTTGTTCCAACACTGCACGATGTAATACTTCCTTACGAGACCAGGAGGGAGCAAAATATCCCCGTTGAAAAGTAAAGGTGGAAAGATTTCCCTGTAAACCTCAGGGATCAAGACTTGGACACCCTCGTGTCTATGCGTGCCGTATATGTTCTCTGTATTCCCTCTAAATCAGAAATCTCTCCTGCTCTGAAAGGGGGAGTGAGTACCGAGCAATACTCCAGACGAGACAGCACCAGTCATTTATATAGTGTTAAAATTGCTGTGTGGTTCCTGGATTTGAACGTTCTCATAATCCATCAATATTTTCCTGGCCGCCGCTATATTTGTTCGGTTATGTTCACTAAATGTCAGGTCGTCAGACATCATAATCATAAAGATCCCTTTATGGTCTTATGTATATGAGTGGGATTGGGGGGTTATAAATAGGGCCACGAATGGGTCAATAGGCCTATTGGCCAATAGGCCAATAGTTACCTTTGTTCTTATGTTTCTTATGTTCTTATAAGTTCTTATAATGATCCTAGATCATTAACATACTGCTTTCCTTATGAGAGTGATCTGATTGTGTCCTGTACCCTGTGGTTCGTTGAAGTTCCTCGTTGCCACCAGACCTAAGTACAGTACCTGGAACTGGTCACCGTTTAACTTCATGATATTTTCAGTTGCCCAATCGAAGAATTTATTAATATCTGCCTGCAATTTTTCAGTATCATCTACAGAGGAAATTTTCATGCTCATTTTGTTATTCGCAAAGGATGACACGAAGCGGTGATTGGTATTTTTGTCTATATCAGAGATGATAATGAGATATAGCAACGGTGCTATATCTCATTGTGTGTGTGTGTGTGTGTGTGTGTGTGTGTGTGTGTGTGTGTGTGTGTGTGTGTGTGTGTGTGTGTGTGTGTGTGTGTGTGTGTGTTCTACCCTGCCTAACTGAATATGTTGTGTGCACGAGCGGTGGTGATAGATGGAGGTTGTGTGTAGTGTGTAGTAATGAGGCGTGAGAGTGTAGACTAACAGTGTTTCTCTGTGTCCCACACAGCATGTCGTCGAGGGAGCGGTCGTCGGTGAAGGACCGCGAGAGACTGAAGCAGAGGGCGCGGGAGATGCGGGAGCACCAGGCGGCGGTGGGGCTGCAGGAGCGGGAGCCGCAGCCCGTCGTCTTCGACGTGGTGCGTCGCTCCCCCAACATGACCGGCATCACCGACAACAACGTCGAGCGCATCCTGGGCAAGTACGACAACTTCGCCAGGTGCGGCGGCAGCAAGATGAGCATGGTGGGCGTCGACCAGCAGCCGCCCACGCCCAGGCCCTTACACGACCCTGACCTCCACCTCAAGCCCCCGAGCCAGGTCCCGGGGCCTGGCTCCGGCTCCTCTTCCTCCTCTAAGTCGTCACAACGACCTCTTCCGCCCCCGCAGTCGTCGCCCAACGGGACGACGCGGCCGCCCAAGCCGCTCCCCTCCTCGATAAAGCCGCCGCACCCGCCCTCGAACCACGCCCACACGAAGAACGGGGAGGTGAAGGGTAACTTGAAGGGTGGCCCGGGTCCTGGGCCGGGCGACGGTGGCGGTGGCGGCAGGAAGGTAACGACGCCCCAGGGAAAGGCCGCCCTCCCGCCCATCAAGGTGGATGGCGGGGCGGCGCCCGTGGACAAGACCATCCAGCAGATCATGTACGAGATGTCCATGAAGAACCCGGTGTCCGCCATCGTCCAGACCCCCAGACACGACCACGAGGGCGCCTTCTCCTTCTCCGCCGCTCACAAGGACGGCAAGATGGCTCGCTCCACTCCTCTCGCTCCAGACAGACTGGGTAAGTTGCCGGAGTCAGTCGTGTAAGACTGAGACATACTAATGGTATGATACATAAAGATGTGTTCCATGACAGAAGGCAGGAATGTTCACAAGGCCGGAGGAAGTGGCACCAACTTCTCCCTCGTTGAACGTCCAGGCGCGTCTTGGCTCTTGCTGAAGCTCCTCATCTTACCTCACACATTTGTCCCAAATTGTATCAAGATCGAGTTGTATTTTTATACAACTCGATTAAGTGATACACTCGGCCGTAGCAGTGCAGAAAGAAAACGAAATTCCTCCATCAGATTCCCTTTCTCCTCCCCCTCCACCCCCACCTCCCCCCGCCTTGGCCTGGACGGTCGAGCGACTCATCAGGGGCCAGATTCACGAAGGAGTTACGCAAATACTTATGAACGTGTACATCTTTCTGCAATCTTTGACGGCTTTGGTTACATTTATTAATCAGTTTACGAGCATGAAAACTTGCCAATCAACTGTTGTTATTATTAGTCCGACGAGGCGTCAACCCTCGTCGGAAAAACAAAAGCATCTCCTATGATTTTCAACGAAACTTGTTCCTCAACGGCTATGACTAATTACCAGAGATGAACCTTGCTAAACTTGGGGAAGAACGAACAAGATAGATACACGTTTCTCAGACACTGGCATAATAGATGGAGACCAAATGAGATTGGGTAGATATAAATAGGAGCTGCCTCGTATGGACCAATAGGTCATCTGCAGTTACCTTCATTCTTAAGTTCTTATGTTCAAACAGTCAAAAATATGGCGAGAAAGACGATAGGGAGTGGATTACACCTGTGGGTAATAGCCATTTCTTAGACGTAAAGATGCCAATGAGCAAGTGGAATTATTCACCCGTTAGCTGAAACTAATTCAACTTCTAGTTAAAAAAAAATATATAAAAAAATAGTACAGGTATGCACGCAAGTATCCCAAATTATAAGCCTCTCCTAGGCTTATAATTAATAGGAAAGGCTACGCCTCTCCTATTCACCTGATACCTTCTCTTATGTCCAGATAACATCTTAAGGGTGTGTTCTCTACTATAAATCAGTCAATAGTTTAAAATATGCAACAGATAAAATCGACCATACGACATGCTGCAAACCTTGAGAGCTGGAACAGATTTTTAGGGAGAATTTTCTGCATTTGCATCGACTGGTACTTAATGAGAAACAAGCAGGCGAAGACATACGGAGGGAAATGCTTGGGCCTCGTAAAGTCAAGAGAGGATGGCATAGTGGAGCGGATTTTAATGGGAGGGAAGTCAACAGAGAGAGCGGTGAGTAATTTGAAGCAGCCCATCTCTGATGTCAATACCGGGGGACTATAACAGGTAATTAGAGGTCTGCTTTGCATCCTCACGTATGATTAATGATATAATGACGGGCAAATATGTCCTGGGTGTTCCATTCTTAGAAAATTGCAGAACACTTGGTTAGTGGTATACTTTTGTTAACAGTTGTCACTTTGTGGTAGCGAGTACTGGCACCCCATGACTTGTCGAGTGGCTTTTGACAAACTGTCCCACGCACGGACGAAACATCTGTTTCTAAAAATAAGACTAGATGAGCACCCTGCGAGTGTCTTTATGATGGAGCAGGTAATTTTACTTGGGCATGGTCTCTAGTAAAATTCATCAAGTTACTCTACATCACGTGACTTTCAAATCAACATCATAAATTCAGAAATAAATAGCCATAGGGGAGAGAGAGAGCATTATATGTGTACACACACGCACCCACACCCCCCACATCCACACCCCCACATCTACACCCCCACATCTACACACGCACACACACCCACACACCCACATCCACACACCCACACCCCCACATCCACACACCCACACGCACACACTGAATAACAGCAAGAGTTGTAGTTTTTTTAAGAGCAGGTAAAACAGTTGTATAAAAAGGTGCAAGTGTTTGATGTGAGCAGTACAATGTAACTCCCGCGTGCACAATGCTCCAGTGTTGTGCACGCCTCAAAGGTCACAATGGTAAGTCAATGTAACTAATTAATATTCACGGAAATGTGTTTTGTTGCGTATTCTCTCTGGAAAAACAGAACCCAACAAAAACCCCGCTACATATAATGGCACCCGGACGGAGTTGGTATAAAAAAGAATGGAAACAGCGCTTCAAACTTGATGGGGAGAAGCAAGTTTATGTTTAGATAAGCTCGGTATTATTAATTATAATACAAATAGCAACTTTATTTCTGCCTTTCATTGTTTTCTTTATAGATCTTTTGTTTACCCCTGAAACATGGCGCTCTTATGACTACAGAAGCTCACAAATACTTTTTTTTCTGAAAGTAGACGTTTGTGTGTTATATTAGTATTTGAATATAATATTAATACAATACATAATATATTTGAACATAATAAGAACATAAGAATCATGGAAACTGCAGGTCTATTGGATGACTAAGTTAATTCCTCAAATTAGAACCCTTTCATATGAAGAGAGATTAACAAAGCTTAAATTGCATTCACTGGAAAGGCGAAGAGTTAGCTTTGACATGATAGAGGTTTACAAGTGGATGAATGGCCATAACAAAGGGGGATATTAATAAGGTGTTAAAAGTATCAACACAAGACAGAACACGAAACAATGGCTATAAATTGGATAAGTTTAGATTTAGGAAAGACTTGGGTAAATACTGGTTCGGTAACAGGGTTGTTGATTTGTGGAACCAATTACCGCGTAACGTGGTGGAAGTGGGGTCCCTCGATTGTTTCAAGCGTGGGTTGGACATGTATATGAGTGGGATAAGAACATAGAACATAAGAACAAAGGCAACTGCAGAAGGCCTATTGGCCCATACGAGGCAGCTCCTATTTATAACCACCCAATCCCACTCATATGTCCAACCCATGCTTGAAACAATCGAGGGACCCCACCTCCACAATGTTACGCGGCAATTGGTTCCACAAATCAACAACCCTGTTACTGAACCAGTATTTACCCAAGTCTTTCCTAAATCTAAACTTATCCATTTTATACCCATTGTTTCGTGTTCTGTCTTGTGTTTTTTGTTCTTATGTTCTTATGTTCTTATATGAGTGGGATTGGGTGGTTATAGAATAGGAGCTGCCTCGTATGGGCCAATAGGCCTTCTGCAGTTACCTTTGTTCTTATGTTCTTATGTTCTTATGTGTTGATACTTTTAACACCTTATTAATATCCCCTTTGTTATGTCCATTCACCCACTTGTAAACCTCTATCATGTCACCCCTAACTCTTCGCCTTTCCAGTGAATGCAACTTAAGCTTTGTTAATCTTTCTTCATATGAAAGATTTCTAAGGATTGGGTGGTTATAAATAGCTGCCTAATATGGGCCAATAGGCCTTCTGCAGTTACCTTTATCTCAATACCATCCAGCTCATATCCTCTAACTCTATCATCATTACCTGTGTGTGCTTAAATTGTATCATGGTGTAAGGTTAATTTTGCTGGAAAGAAGTGGATGGGCGGACTAGATTTGTTGTAGTTCAATCAGACATTTTTGATTGAGTTGCCCCCATGAACCATTCATTTTTTAACTACACAGGAAAGGAAAATAGGAATACAGGGCATACTATTACAATCTTGAAATATCCAATGTAAAATGACCATTGATGTAATTTGAGACATAAAACAAAGTCCATATAATGGAAATGTGAGATATGGGAATATAGATTGTATTAGCAAATGTTAAGAAATCGGTCAATTTAGGAAAGTGATCCAAATGAGATTATAAATAAATAGTTTGTCAGATAATGACAGGATGTGTAGAGTCCTGGCTTACCCTTTGGTAAATTTCAGGATAATCTGTAAGTATTGTATATAGATTGTTTTATATTTATATAGATTATTATGTCATATAAGGGGTTGAGGCTAGGAAATGACGATAATTACAGGATATGAGCTGGATGAGTTACGATTAATAACAATTTAAAGGCAAAAAGTTAATGCATAAACTTGTGAGAGTGGATATAAACAGGAGCTGCCACGTATGGGCCAACAGGCCTTCTGCAGTTTCCTCGATTCTTATGAGATAAATTTCATCACTGGACATAAACAGCTGGATAAGTAACATTGTATTTCTCCCGCAGCAGGTAGATTCTGGGGGTATGCATGCCAGTTAACAGAAGGCTTGTAAAAGGCGTGAGAAAATGCTTATTTTTCCGTTTGGATTGTGGATGGTTGGGGGAGGCGTTGCTTAACGAGGTTGTGGGCGCGCAAAAACGCGGGAAACAGGAGAGTAAATGGGGTGGTAAGTAGGTAAACAAGACTGGCCAGCTCCCACGTGGTCCGCCACACCACATGTACGAGAGGGGGACGAGTGGGCATTAACGTGTACATAATGACCAAACCACACAGCGGAAGATGTTTTGCTCCTTTCTCTTAATCTGTTGGCTCATATGTAGTCACTCCTATCTATATCCAGCCCGACTCATTCATATACACGTGTAACCTACGCTTGACACAATTAAGGTGTCCTACGTCTATTATGTTACCCGATAATTGGTTCTACAAACCTGTTGCCATACCACTATTTACCCAGATCTATTCCAGATCTAAACTTATCGAACTTTATATCCGTTGTTTCGTGTTCTATTGTGTGTTGATATATTTAATACCTTATTAATATTACATTTGTTACGCTCATTCATCCACTTCAGTCAGTCGTGTGACCCCTAACTCTTCGCCTTTGTAGAGAATGCAAATTATGCTTTTTTCAGTTTTTCTCCATATAAAAGATCCTATTCCTCATCCTATTCTTACCTTCCATTTTCTGATGACCTTTTATTTGGTGATTATATCTTCAGCCACGTTATTGTGACTCCGTCTTTCATTTTTGTCTTGCCTGCTTCTCCTGGGCGCCTGACAGCTGGGTGGACAGCGCTTCGGATTCGTAGTCCTGAGGTTCCGGGTTCGATCCCCGGTGGAGGCGGAGACAAATGGGCAAAATGTTTCTTTCACCCTAACGCCCCCTGTTACCTA